GACATCATAGATCTGAGATAGATAGGATATCATGCTCAACTTGTCTGGCACGTCACATTCTGCCATCTCAGCACCCGTCATAACCTAGAAAAAATAATTCTTGACAAACAGAAGCCAGAAATCATACTAGGGAGTAAGAAACTCTACAAATGTGAACACAATGTATATCTGCCACCATACATTTATGTACAACTATAAGTATGAGAAAACACTGTAGCCAAATCAAGCTTGCATATCATAATTTCTCTGGCAAAAACACTCCCAACTGGACCAGTATATCAAGGATTTTCTTATACATGATGTAACACTGTAAAGGTGTTTGGTTTAGTTTATTTAAAATATAATTAGTACATGAGTCAGAGACAAGAATTGAGAGGCGCCAGTTGTCCACGGAAAGTCACACCTGAGAGTTAATGACCCCAAGTGACCTGAGGTCAGATCATGGGAATTTCACCTTGCTTCTGTAATCTCATAATTGGAGCCTGGTAGCCTTCAAACATGCCGACGTTTAAGGAGTGGCTTGGTAGAGAGCCGGAGGCTTAATCTACTTGTGGGCGGAGTTAGCTACTAGGATCCCAAATATACTCGGAGAGCTATCGATTCGAGAAGCATTGGCAATAGGAGACCAGCCAGCGGAGCAGAGCAGAGGCCAGCCGTCGAGATAGGCCGTCAACCAGACGGGGGTGACGCTGCTGAAAATTGCAGACTCCCCCCCCCCCTCTCTATTCAACTTAGACTCAGTCCTCGGTGAGTGAACATTTAGGTGACTTGGTCGTGTTTTACAAGGTTTGTGTGATGATCAGGGGCATCATGTTGTAGTGTTCTCAGATTCTTGGAGGATGACTCACTTTGAATATTAATCTTTAACATTTTAATTGGATTGCTTAAGTTATGATACTTATCATGAAAAATATAATTGTTGAATTATTATTTAAATGGACTTTATTTTGTTCCCTAGAGATTTTGAGTTGAGGTGAGAAAGCCTCTGTGGTTACTGGTTTCATGGTTTAGAATGAGTACATGATAAAGATGGGACCATACTAATAATGATCTCTTGATAAATCTTTGGTGAATATTGTGATACAGACAAGTTCCATTCCTTGCTTGTATGTAATGATCATGAATGGTGTGGCAGCATTTCGTCTTCTACTATTACTTTTACTTCTACTAGTACTCTTCTACTTCTACCTATCTAAACCTCTCCCTTCACCCCTCTCTGAACTCTCACTTTCAACTAATGACCCTCCTCGCTCCTCCACCTCCCTACCTCTCACCCCAAACCCTCACTAATTATATATCTTGTATGAAAAATATATATTATACTGCCTATGAATAAGAAATTTAGGGTCACAGAATTAGAACGCTCTTCAAGCATTTTTCCCTAGTAACACCACCTAGCAACGCTAGCCTGGACAGCTTCTTGTTGTGGTTGTTTTAGATTCAGGTACTTGGAACAAAAGTTCCAAGCAGCACAGGCTATGTTGAGCCCATAGTGGACTTGATCCTAGATAGCAGTGTCACTAATTATTATTCAATTTCTATGACTTTACTCTGCAGAGTACGAATTGTTTATATTACCTTATTTTAACATTTTAAGCAGTGCTTTAATTTAAAGTTAGTTTGCTAATCATATTACAGTATATAAACCTATTTACTAATAAATTGGTATTTAAAATTAAGTAACCAGCAACCCTGGTTATCACAAGTCGAGCTTGGCCTCAGGCCGGGCTCAGGGAGTAGAACACACAGAACGCTTTCCAGGAATGCTCCAGATAACCACCCCCTCCTGGGAAGGGGGGTTACCTGGAGCATCCTCCCCCCCCCCCCTCGCACGACACCCAGGAGGAGGGAAGGGCAACCAAGTTCCTTGCCTGGCACAATTAGAATTTACACTTCAACGCTCTGATCATTATTTTCACCTAGCTGGAGAGACCGTAACTGAGCCATTGGATGACATATAAGAATCTCCAGAATGCTGTCAGATGCCAAGCTCTCATGGTTCATAAAATCAAAATATTTGCCCAGCTCCAGAGAAAGTTCAATGAGTCTAGCATTATTAGACTCTGAGCATCCATGTTCCTTTTCAGTTAAGAGAGCACTTATGACTGTTTTAATTTATTGAGTAGTACCATATTAATAAATAAATCGTAAGTCATTAACCATTTCCACCCATCCAGTAAGTATGATTACATTACGGGGTTTAACCCCAAACACATGTACATAAATTTTCATATCTTGTAACTTGTGAATGGATATACAGTAATTTAATATAATTAAGAAATTATTAACTTTAGTTACTAGTTGTTTCAGACAACTAGGCTGATTTATTTTGTCATTTTACAACTTTGGTCCAACAAAGCTTAATCATTGAATCAGTGTCCTGCTGTGCTGGATACAAATTTATAGCATTAATCACATTGTGGGTTCTCCTCAGGTATGGTGGAAGACTGCACTTGAAACTAAATACTACTTGCTTCTACAAAATTAGGATACAATAGAGGACGTTGTCAGAAATCAACTAAGCTACACATTATTGATTCTCTTGTTAAATTATTCATAACAAATTCATATTCGACTTAGCATTTACAAGCGAGTAATTGAATCATATTACAAGGTTTAGTTTGTCATACAATTCTTTAAGTTCTCTGCCCCATGCCTGTTTAATTAACTTGTCTGGTCGATAGTTTTTGACCTTTAGTGTGGTCAACTTTACGGATTTGGCAAGAGAGAACAGGTGTATTTAAATATCTTTATCCACAATTGTATTTTCTTACAAACTATACCGACTAACAGGGGGGGCTATTGAGTCTAGGTAAAGAGTTGAAGAATTTAATAATATACAACATGTAATTGTGATTTCATTGTGCATATAAACATGTATATTTCAGTACACACATGAGATACTTACAGGAGGGATCCCGAAGTCACGTTCCAGGATATCATATGCCAGCTGGTTGTTTTGAGCAATATCTTCTGGCTGCAAGGCTTCAAAGTCAATCAAGTCCGGACGGTAGCGGTGAATAATAGCACACAGTGCCCGACCATCCTAGAAATTTTTTAATTCTTTATACACAGTACAATACAATCTAGTACCATTGAGGCCCAAATTCAAGCATCTGACAATCCAAGAGAATGAAATGTTATTCACACTATTATGGATTTCATCTTATAGTAATGTACTTTAAGTTATATATATAAAAAAAAAAATATTACTCAAATTATGAGTATTTTCCTAAAATATATCTACCATAGGATATAATATATCCTGGAGTAGGTAATATATAATGCTAATATATCACAATATACAGTGACCAAGAGAGTGACAAGAAAAAATCCCTCACCTATTTCTTCCAGGCTGGGGACACCTCCCCATTCAATTTATATGGGAAATGAAATAGTTATAACTTAACACGAAATGTATTTATACTTTAAAATACAATTAGGCAAAAGAATTGTACTAAAGAAGAATTATACAAGGTTTAAACTTATTCATTAACCACATACCTTAAAGGAGGTGGTCATATTGTCTACGTGAACAGAGTCATAGAGGGCAACTTGCTTCTTGCACCACACCAGCAAAGTATCAGGATGTATAAAAGAATCTGCAAAGAGTAATTTTCAGCATAAATGAACTTGCTTTTTAGATTTCCATGATTTAATATAACATTTGTAGAATATATTATATTTATTAAAGGCGTGCTGTATCTTGGGTATGCACCCGACCTCCGAAGAGCTGGACGAGGCCTTCGAACACTGATTGTTATATAAGTGTGTGTTCTCTGTAGGCTGTAGCAATGCAATAAAATTAAATAAAACAAAATTAATAAAAAATAAAAGGGGTGGTAGGAGAGGAGAGATTAAAGTGTTCAGTGAGAATCCACAAGGTCTTCTCTGAACACCCTTTATTTTCTTCTTCGAGGCTGTGGGGTCCCTTCAATTGAACGAGAGGTGCTACCCCTATTTATTATATTATTTATATAGGTACCCCTATTATACCCCTATTTATTATATAGGTACCCCTATATTTATATATATACCCCTATTATTTATATATATATATTATTTATATATATATATATATATATATATATATATATATATATATATATATATATATATATATATATATATATATATATATATGTATATATGTATATGTATATGTCGTACCTAGTAGCCAGAACTCACTTCTCAGCCTACTATGCAAGGCCCGATTTGCCTAATAAGCCAAGTTCTACTGAATTAATATATTTTCTCTAATTTTTTTCTTATGAAATGATAAAGCTACCCATTTCATTATGTATGAGGTCAAATTTTTTTTATTGGAGTTAAAGTTAACGTAGATATATGACCGAACCTAACCAACCCTACCTAACCTAACCTAACCTATCTTTATAGGTTAGGTTAGGTTAGGTGACCGAAAACGTTAGGTTAGGTTAGGTTAGGTAGGTTAGGTAGTCGAAAAAACATTAATTCATGAAAACTAGGCTTATTAGGCAAATCGGGCCTTGCATAGTAGGCTGAGAAGGAGTTCTGGCTACTAGGTACGACATATATATGTATATATTTATATGTAAATATATATATGTATATATATATATATATATATATATATATATATATATATATATATATATATATATATATATATATATATATATATATATATATATATATATATATATATACATACACATATACACACATATACATATGTATGTTTTAAAATGAGTTAGCAAATCCAAGTTGACTTTAAACAAATCAAAATGCAGTAAGTACTGTAAATACTAAAGTTTTAACAAGGAATAAGGATTCAAGGCTGAGAAGTATAATATCATAAATTAATTTGTTACACAGCACAGCAGTAGAAACACCCACACAGTAACACACATTCCTCAGTAAGGTGGGTTTTCACTCAAGTATTGAAAGCACTAGCAACTGTAAATTAGAATATGCAGCATTTCAAACAATTATTGTCCATGGCAACACTATCCACAATTACATTTCTCATAGACATATCCCTTTACTGTGATTTCCTTGTGTATTAAGGTCTAAAGTAATAAAATAGCAACAAAAACTTCCAGGATCATGCACACCAAGAAGGTTAGGATTAATAATATTAATTAGGTTCACTTTAAACCCTTAAACTGCTGAATTAAATTTTACTTTGCACTTATCAAATTCAATGGTAACGTCTCTCTAAATGCACCTTCATTAGCAGACCTTAATTTGACTCGATGCTACTACTTCACAGTCTATAAGCATGGCTACAGAGGAAGGCAAATACAGTACCAAAAAATGCTCAAAAGCATAGTTATCAGCCCAATGAATACAAAAATAAAATTGGTTCTTTATTCACAAAACGTGCAAAACCAGCAACAAATTGCATATAAATATTACTGCCCAAGAGCTATGCAGGAAATTACTACAATATAAATTATGAAAGGGAAAAGAGCCACTTTATATATCTAACATCACTCTCACATGAATTACATTTACTTTCCATTATGCAGAAATAGTACAAGTACATAAATGGCACATCTTTCCCTTGCATAATATTTGTGATGCTAAATAAAGTAATGAAGCCCAATATATGTATATTCTAGGTTAAATTGATGAATTTATTTACCCTTTACTGAGGGGCACCAGGAAGAGAGAAAAACAAAACATTATTATTGAAACATACTACTGTATTCCTGAAGCTGAAACATTACCCCTGAGAAGCACACAATTGATCACTCTGGCCATCCATTTCTTAGCTCAGGACCAATAAGCTCAAGAGACTAGACTCCCACACTAGTTCATTAAGTACAACCCTCAAGTAAATACTGTATAGCATTAGTATAAACATAACTTTACAATTCAGAGAGTAATACTATTAAATTACAATACTGTACTTTACAAATTTAGATTACGGGATCCTTGAATTTATAAAGAAACATACTCGTTTGGAACTTTGCCACAGCTAACAACCGATTTTCTGTGTAAGTTTATGTGCAAGATGTGAAAGAAAAAGTCATTGGAGACAAAAGCTAGAAATTTTTTAAATTTCCTAGAGTTGGAGTTTTGCTCTTAAAATAGTGACTATCTTCTTACACGTATTAAATGTTTTATTAAATAATTAATCTATTTTATTATTTAAATATTTTATTTATTATTTAAATATTTTATTTATTATTTAAATATTTTATTTAATTAAATTTAATATAACACTGAACAAACACTGAACAGACATTAATCCAGACTTAATTAAAAGGGTTCAATGTAGTGCACACAAGCAACAAAATAGGACAAAAAAGAAAGACATCGTTTCTACCTATTGGGGCAATAATAAATTCAGCTGGAAAAAAAAAATTATCATCAATAATTGGGGAGGACCTTTAACCCTTAACATGCTCGGGGTCTAATATCCTGCCATCCGCACAGGTGCATGTCATTTTGAAAAAAAAAAAAATTTTTTTTTTTGCTAATCTGTTAAGTTCTGTTCACTGATCACGGGAAAAATAAAAAAAAAAATCTATTGTACTTACTTTTGTTGCAATAGAGCCGAGAAGCTCTGTGATGACGTCACAATCTGCATGTTCGCTCATGCAGTACACACCCGGGATGTGTTGCGCGCGGTCCTCAAACAGCCAGAATTGCCACAAATATATTTTCGCGCTATTTATTTACAATGTCTAAGCGCATTTTATCTAATTTTTTTTCACTAATTGTGTTTCAAATACTGTTTGAACATATTTTGTATCAATAATTGTTGCATATTTGAGTATACACAGGCGCACACAAATGTTTTCAATTACGGCAATATAATATGTCATTACAGTCTATTATATTGTATGTTCTGCTTATATTTGTATATATTTACACACACGCACACGCTATCTGCTTATATGTTTACATATTTACACACTCGCACACGCTATACACACTTTGAAGCACACTTAGAAGATTTCTAGACTGTGGTAGTCATTGAAGCAGTCGACAGCACATAATGGGATACCACACGTTTCACACCATGTTTGCACAAGCTTCCGTTTCTTGTCTCTACGTGTCGTTGTTTTACACACCAAGCAATCACGTTGGGCTATTGCACGCTTCACACCAGGTGGCAAATACTTAAGTTTGTGTGCTAGGAAGCCTTCAGTGTGAGCGAGGCGTGGAGTACCAGCATGCTGCAACAGTGGGTTTATGATGGGCCGCTGAATACCTGGGACATCTTTTGCAAACTTTCCTAATAACTGTATTGCAGCATCAAATACAAAGTCACGGAAAGTGGGCTTACGTCCAGTTCTCACAAGGTACATGTTGAAACAGTTCAGCATGCTCATGTCCACAAGATGGAAGAACACTTTTTTCGTCCACCTACATGTCTTCCGCACACACTCTGCAGTGCCAATCATCATGTCTGATTTATCAATCAACCGCATGTTGATATTATAGTCTAAAACACAGTCTGGCTTATATAGTGGTGCGTTTGTTTTATGGCTCACTTTCCCACTGTTCACCATTGTTCCATCATGAATTGTTGTCAACAAGTTCACCTCTCTTTTGTCTTTCCACCGAACTGACAGAATGTTATCACTTTTCCTTCTCTGACACTCACCAACTGCAACGTCGTTGTCAAACACAGGCATTTCCCTTCGTTGTGGCTTTACTGTACCAACCAATCCGGTTCTATTTTCTAGCAAGAACCGAGCTAGCAAGGGACTTGTACAGTAATTATCTGTGTATAAAATGTGTCCCTTGTTCATCCACGGAGCCATGATGGTCTTCACTACACTCCCCGAGAATCCATGTTCGTCGTTACCGGGAATGTCTACATCACTAGCCGAGTACAGAATCATGTGTAACACGTATCCTGTCTCACAATCACAAAGAACAAAAAATTTCAGGCCAAATCGGTTTCGTTTTGAGGGAATGTACTGTTTGAATGGAACACGTCCCTTGAAAAGTATGAGAGATTCATCAACCACCAGCTTCTGTGCTGGTACGTAAAAATCTCTGAATTTTCCAATAACATCGTTCATGTAGTGCCTCACTCGCCACAGTCTATCATCAGGTGTTCGGTCCTGAACACTTCCAAAATGTAGACACCTGAGGAGTATCTGAAACCTGTTTCGTGACATATATTTCCCGAATAAAGGTGTTGGTATTGTCTTGTCCTTGCTCCAATAGTCATTTATTGCATGTTTGTGACAGTGCTTCATCAACAAACAGAGTGCCAAAAACACATACATTTCCGCCACTGTGGTATTTTTCCAACGCTGCAGTCGTGAAAATTCTGTGATTTCCCTCTCAATCAGGTAAGCAGCATGCAGGTTCGTTTGGTGTACAATGTATTCCATGAGTGGTTCATCATAGAATGCTGTAAAATATTCCATCTCAGCCATGTCCTCACCTTGATTAGGGAAAAGGTTTGTAATCCCTACATCTTTATCGTCAAAGTGACGAATATTAGGAATAAAATCGTCACCATCACTCCACTCAAGTACACCAGGTGTCCTGCGAGATGCAGAGGAAAGACGGCGAGGAAGCGATGCATACCGGCGACCAGGAGCTGAATACCGTCTGCGAGAAGCACGGCGGCTACGTGCACGTGAGGTGGGTGCACGTGAGGTGGGTGCACGTGAACACGAGGGTCTTGGTCCCTCATGTGGTGCCATGCGGTGGCGCTTGGCCGGGCGAGATGCTGCTGACGCGACAATTTCTCGCCCAGTTACACCACTGGTACCAGCCACAGGCTCAATAAAACTTTGATCTGAGTCACCTCCCTCTGACTCGTCACCCTCAAACAGAAAATATCCACAGGAACTGTGAGGTCGTGGTAGAATTGGGGTAGAAAATGGGCGAGGAGGCATGGGAGAGCGTATAGGCCTCGCCATGGCATGGCGGTCATTCTCACTTTCACTGCTGCTGCTACTATCACCCGACAACTGTGTATAATCCTCATCGTTGTCTGAATCGTCAAACACACTTTTTAACAAGCACTAACTTCCTGTCCCCAATGAAACCAATAGAGATGGTGGTTCTCAAGTAAATTCAGATAAATAATGTTTGCTCCAAGAGTCTCCTCTGGAACCTTTACTGCCTCCAATTCCCCAGCAGACGTTTCCGACTTCCATGGAAATTTTTACATATTTCCAGTTTCCTTGGAAAGCTCCTGTGAAGGAGACTTCAACAACTCATCAACATCTTCATCCAGATCAAAACAAGTTTCTTAACTAGCTCCTCGATGTTCTGTCACTTTCATCTAATCCCCTAGCCCCTTAAAACTATTGATGAATGTATGGCAAATCTTTTTCCAACTTTATACAATGACTACTTCACATTCTTCACACTCTTAAAGCTATAACTTCTCTGAAATATTTGGGAGGTAATTTTTCCATCTACTGATGGAAAAAATCAACTGCCTAGGAAAAAATACTGAATGATCCTATAACTTCCTCAGTCCATTAATTACAACAACAAGGTTGTATTTGAAGGCATAAATAACAACCTTGATAAATATGGCAAATTTTTTAAAGAATAATTTAGTGAATAAAAATTAACATAATCCTCAATACAAATTACCTCTTCTTTTCCTCTTCTTTGGTAGTTCGTCAGAATTGACTAGGTGAGGATTGGTAACCTCCTCAAGGTGGGCAGCGTCATCAGTGTCAAAAGGGAGCGTACTTGAAAGGGTAGCACTGCGCGTACATTAATTGTGGGATATCTTGTTGCTGGATCCAGTGTATATGAAGAGTGATCTGTACATTATGTTAGAAATCATTAGTTATAATACAAAACCAGTACAGAAGCATAAAGAAAAAACTTAACCTTGTAATAAATTATTTAAATAGATGTGATATTCACCGCCTCTTTATTGATACAGTATCTTTAAAACCTTGTGTGATATTTCTAAACATCATTATGAATGATGTTTTACTACTAAATATTGCATTACTAAATATTATGTTCTAGTTTGAAAGCATCATTATAGCCTATTATTTACTTCCAGCACCTATTGCACCAAATGTGCTCAATCTGTTGTCTAATTGAGTAGTATGCTGGCATCTAGCAGCAACTAGATGCTGTTTATCTTGCTTAGTCTGTTTTCACATAAGCATGATTTCATCATTACGATAATTGAAATTCCTTCTATGAATTGATACATTTCTTTTGTAATATTTCAGGTTAGTGAAGTGAATCAAAATTTTATATAGCATTCAAGTATCTTTTCATCCCAATCACTACACCATGTTTCCCACATGAGAAATGGCCATATGAAGAAACAATCTTAAATATTTGCAATATTTTTTTCCATGTTATAAATTCTTACATGTGAATACATGAAACATTCATCAAAACACTCCTAACACTTGTTTGTCATTCGTACAAATGTTGCCTCTTGCATGTTTCCAGAATATAAAATGTCTTAAAATATGATTGCCACAGCAGTCTTACACAGCTGATATGAGTATAAACTATGAAAAAGGCACAAAATAAAACTAAATCAATAAATATGCAGTGCAGAAATGAGGTAAAGGAGCAGACCTCTAAGTGGCGAGGCAAGCTAAGTGAAGCCAGAGAAGAGTGCTTAATGAGGAGGGAACACTTATTATACTTCCTTAAGAAAGCTCTTTCTTCAGAATTATGTCAACCATTTTACTGTAACCATCCAACAGATAATAAAAGCCTTCACCAAATTGATTTCTAAATGTATTTTAATACTGTACATATATTTGTATGGATGAAAAGCCACTTTTCACCTGCAAGCATATATTCTCTGTCATTGGTAGACATTGATCCAGTACAAGCCTCTTATACAGCTGTTCAAGATGCTCTAACTTAACATTATAAGAGGTTTCTGCAGAGCAATAGATGTTTGTGACACAGGTGCCAGGAACAGTAAAGGGGTCTGCATTCACCATCTACGATATTCATTAGTGTTACAATCTAGGAGCTGCTAGCATAAAAAGTTCATTGTTAAATTATTTAACAAAAAAAAAAAATAAAAGCAATTCTTGATATTAAAGTTTTCAAAAATCAATTGGAGGAAATCTGGAGGAATTTGAAGGATTTCAAAGAGGTGGATCTAGATATGCAGTACTCTCACTTAGCTCCCCGTCCCATTTATAGCTACGACAAAATTATTTTCAAAGACATTAGGATCCCCTGAGGCTTGAGTCACTTTAGGGGTACTGATAAGCTGCCAGACTCTTAACAAATACAGTGAGTAAAGCTCGGGAAACTACAGAGGCAACCTTGCTCAGAAAATAATAATAAATCAGAACTCTTCTTTTGTCAATGTCTGTCTCACTGTTCTAATGGTAAACTACACATTGTTTTCCAATATGAATATATCAATATATATATTGTATATATATTTTTACCCTTTAAATTTTATGCTAAATATTGTTGAAAGGGTTATCTTGAGATGATTTCGGGGCTCAGCATCCCCCGCAGCCCAGTCCTCAACCAGGTTTCCTTTTTGTTACACACCCCCAGGAAGCAGCCCATAGCAGCTGTCTAATTTCCAGGTACCTATTTACTGCTAGGTGAACAGAGTATCAGGGTGAAGAAACTCTGCCCATTTGTTTCTGCCTCCACCGGGGATCAAACCCGGAACCTTAGGACTACGAATCCCATGCGCTGTCCACTCGGCCATCAGGCCCCTTCAGTGGACAAGGGTAGTTGTCTAAAAAAAAGTAAGTTTTTTTTACATGGCTAATGCATAAAGAAATCACATTAAAATGATGTGTCAGTGAGAAAATCAGTAAAAGCCAAGAGGATTATTCAAACCTATGCTCTTGGTGCTCCCAAGCACACACCTTAAACAACTACACCATGACATGATCAAAAGGAATGCAACTGAAGCCAAGTCAGAGTTTTCAGGCATTGCCCCAATGCACTCTGGGTGAGGTCTAGGAGTTCTACACCTAGACCTCTTATGTGTAGTGGTCTAAGGTGTATGTTTGGGGGTACTGTACTCAGAGCATAACTTCCAATCCTCCTCAGGGCTCCTACTGATTTTCTTACTTTGCAAAATTTTAAGGAGTTGTACAAGTTGTGACAAACAAACTTCTTGTTTTAATTCTAATATTTTAAACAATTTTCTTAGATTCTTGGGTTAATTAAATACAAACAAATCCTAGTCATATATTACCTTTACTAAGATTTTCTGGAGTTGTTTGTGCCAAAAGGCGATAGATGCTCTCTCTTTCTGCTAGCACCTCCAAGGAAGTCATCTTTCCTGAACATAATGACCGGATCATCCAAGCAGCATCAAAACAGCTCAAAAATCCTCGGGCACATCCAGATCCAGTTGGCCAGAAAGGCTGTGAAATACAATATAATTATTGTATTTGTAATTATACAATACAGAGCATGTAATTAATGTTATTAATTACATGCTCTGCTGATTTCAACCTTTATGGAAAAAACATTACAGATTTATTTTCATATATTTTGAATGACAATAAAATAATGAATTTTACACACACACACACACATGAAAAGAAAGGAATGCAGTGATATTTCAGCCCATCCTGAACTCTAGAAAGTGACAAGGGTCTAAGATGAGCTCAAGTTTCTTCATAGTGCTTTCTTTTCGCCCCTGGGACTACTCCTGCAGCAGACTAGTAGCCTTGCTGAGAGCCCTGCAGAACCTCCCGAAGGAGGACTGAGAATCCACCAGGAACTACCACACATAACACAACTCAAATATCATAATAATAATATTTTCATCATTATAATAATACAGAGACACCTTGGCTTACGAATATCCCCATTTACGAACTTTTCGGGTTACGAGCCCAATTTCTTCGGATAATTTGAATCAGGTTATGAACTTTGCCTCGGGAAACGAGTTTGTTGATACACATATGGCCGACCTAGCGCATGGTGGCACGGCAATCACACTTCAGTTTACCAGTGCCTCTTGCCTAGTGACAATCGTGCCTGAATTTTTTGTAAAGAATTACATTTTTTTTTTGTATTTTTGGCTATTTGAAGATACAAATTTTTATTTTATATCTTGCCATGGGTCCCAAGAAAGCAAGTAGTAAGGTTCAAGCCAAGAAAACACATGTGAGAATGACCACAAGGAGCAGAAACAAGAGGCAGCTGAGGAAATGTCTTCAGGGGAGGAGGCGGCAGTAGAGAATGTCCCTTCCTCAACAATTTGGAAGTAGTGTAGGCTGTGGGGAAGAAATGCAAACTTTTGTTGAAACGACTCACTCAGAGCAAGCTGTAGTAGGCCGTTGCATTAACCTTTTTAATGACAATGTAATGCCTCACTACAGACAAGTGTTACAACGAAGGGAAAACAATCCTCTATGGATCTTTTATAGTGAGAAAATCAAGCAGTGAGTTACAAGCAGGTCCTAGTGGTATGTCTGCAAAACATAGGAGAGAGAGTACCCCAGAAAAGTCATCAGTGACTGATGTAATAATGGAAGGGGACTCCTTCCAAACAATAACACCTCTCCTCCTCCTCCAACCCCCCAACTACCCTCCTCACTGTCTTCCATATGCCAACAACAGTCATAAGTAAAGGTAAGTAATAACTTGTAAATACTTTAGTACTGAAGATTTGGGTGAATTAGGTATGCAGTTTAATTTGAAGTTATTTTTTGGGGAGTCTGGCATGGATTAATTCAATTTCCATTATTTCTTATGGGGAAATTCACTTCTGTTTACGAATTACAGTGGAGCCTCGATTAACAAATTTAATCTGTTCCGGCACAGAGCTCGTCATGTGACATGCTCGTCTTTCAAAACGAATTTCCCCATTTAAAATATTGGTAATAAAAATAATCTGTTCCAGCACCGAAAAACATTAATATGATATTCAATTTTTTAAATAAAGCATACCTGACATACACTGAACGAACCTTTATGACATTTGTTCTTTTTTCAAATTTGTTCATTTTTTTCGTTTTTTATTTTTTTAAGAAACATGGAGCATCCTACCTGACATACACTGAACAAACCTTTGACATTTGTTCTTTTTTTCAACATTGTTCACTTCTTTTTATTTTTTTCATTTTTTATAACAAAAAGGTTCGTTCAGTGTATGTCAGGTAGGCTGCTCCATGTTTCTTAAAAAAAAAAAAAATGAACAAATTTGAAAAAAGGTCAAATGTCATAAAGGTTCGTTCAGTGTTTGTCAGGTAGAATGCTCCAGTATGACAATCTTTCTTTGTTTCAAATGTGTTCAATTTGTTATGTATTATTCATTTATTTATTAATAATGGTGCAGCCTACCTGACATACACTGAACAAACCTTTTTGACATTTGTTCTTTTTTCAATTTTTTTTTCATTTTTTTGTTTATTCTACAAACAAAATTCAATGCTTTGCAACATTACAGCAGTCACCCCTTTACATCCCAGCATCATTAGCATCTTTAATTTTTTTTATTTATTTATTTGCATCGTTGGAGGTGTCCAAGAATGTGCGAGAAGCAGTGGGAACGCACCATGTGGTTTTCTCTTTAATGAAATGAGTGTTCGCCAATTGAGACAAATTGTCGGCGATCGACATGATCGTTATTCAAAATGCTCGTAAATTGAGGCGCTTGTCATTCGAGGTTCCACTGTAATGAGTCTCGTCCTTATAATAAACAATGTTTTCTAAATCAATCCCTGTTGCCGCATAGAGTTCCTTGAAGAATTTTTGGTTGAAGATGAATGCTACTCCACTAATTTCCTGCAACAAGAAATATATGAATATTTAATACAACTATGCACACATTTTTAAATGACTCGGATTCAAAATTATTAACCCAAATCACACATATGAAATGAACATAAAGTGATGACATTTTGCTATGTCCTGGACCCTTACCATAAGGAAATGAAAAACTGAAACATGGTAATACCAAAATCCGAATTACCAAGCTCATACAGCAGACCAATTAACAAAGTTAAATACCCCAGAAAGCTGCACATAGCACCATCAATCAGACTTGGTAAATGGAACCCAACAATGACCTGCAAAGTAGGAGGCCTAGGAATGAGATACCTTAGTGCTAGCCCAAACGAGATGCAAAGTGTCGAACAACCTCATGAGCTGGAGAACAAAACAAAACTCCTTAGAGAAGACAACAAGAAAGTAAAGTATTTGACAACAGCACCAAAGAGCACTGAAGCATTAGCTGGGGAGTTATGGGAACAGGAGGACAATGTGAATGAAGCATAAATATCAGAGTATAACTCAATAAGTAGGACCATAAGATTCAAGGCACTGCTAGAACCCTGAAGATTTGTGGTGGAATCTGTCTCCATTAATATCCAGGTAACATAACTAAGCCAATGCTAGGTGAAATTATATGGGCAGATGCATTGCCTCGTATGTCTCTTACAAGACAAAACTAATTAATTTAACACTTTCGCTCGGTAACGACGCAGCATTGCGTCGTTTTTTTAGTAGACGCACTTCCGGAAACGACACAGCATTGCGTCGTTTATTTAGTAGATGCACTTCCGGTAACAACGCAGCATTGAGTCGTTTTCGGCAGTAAATTGGTGGCAGCTTCGGGAGGGGCGCGCCACGGTTTTGGATATATGCATATACTCCTGTAGGGAATATCATTGCGAATACATTGATACCAAAATGAAAGACCTAGGACCAGAGTTGAGGTAATAAAGTTGAAAAGAGTATACCCATTTTATTAGTGCTCACTGGGGTTACGCTCCATCACTTTCTCTGATTGCTGTGGGTGGTATGCCTGGCTTTTGGACTTTATATTTGCATATACTCCTGTAGAGAATTCTATTGCGAACACAATGTTACCAACATGAAAGACCTATGATGAAAATTGAGATGTGCAAAGTGAGGAGAGTGTACACATTTTATTGTTCTTGCGTGCTACTGGGTAATACGCTCTTCCTTTCTCACTTTCTCGCTGGGCTTTTGGGATTTATATGCATTTAGTCCTGTAGAGAATTCTATTGCAAACACATTGATACCAAATTGAAAAACTTAGGACGAGAAATGAGATGAGAAAGGGGAAAAGAGTATACACTTTTCAGTATTACCGCGCTTTCTAATGTATTGAGAGGCACCTTGGGGTGGCGCAGTGCTCTCTTTCTGGGCCACTTTCATCTTGTCGGCGGGTGGAGCGCACTGTGGTTTTTGACATTATATACATATAGTCTTGTTGGAAATTCTATTGTGAATACAATGATACCAAAATGAAAGACCTAGGACGAGAAATGAGGTGACAAAAGTGAAAAGAGTGTACACATTTTATCGCTCTTGCACGCTCCCGGGTAACACACTCTCATTTTGTTTGTTGTGGATGGTACGCCGGGCTTTTGGACTTTATATGCCTTTAGTCCTGTAGATAAGTCTATTGTGAACACAATGATACCAAATTGAAAAACCTTGGACGAGAATTGAGGTAACAAAGTTGGAAAGAGTATACACTTTTCAGAATTACCATGCATTCCCGTGAAACAATGAAACCTACCTGGGGTAGTGAGGGGCTCACGCCCACGGTGCGCGTAAGTGTTAAGTTCTTTTAAATGGGTTTTGTATTATTCATTGCCAAGTCTTGGTATAATCTTTACTGCTCAGTGCTGAGCACCTTCTAATTTGTCAATCATTCCTAAAGTATGTCTACATGCAATATTTCAAAGAGGACAAAATAATAAATGATAGTACTGAATACAGATTGAACATGACTTATGGATTGAAACTAAATGGACTAAAACTAAAGATCTCCTAACAAAGCCTAAAGGCATTTTTGAGTCAGCCCATCTCTCCATATCCTGGTCACTCCCTGAGCCTGAGAATGTGCCAGCCCAGAACATTAGACTTCCGTTGGGTTCTGTCAACCTGGGATGGGAACTTCCATGGGAACAAGTTCCTTTTCGAATTGTCTTCCTCCCACTCATCAACTGGGGAAGGGTGACATTTAAGAACAACTTCAATCCACCATCAATAGATGGTTTGCTATGGCAACAAAAGGCAGAAATATAATTATTTTTTGGAAGCTAATAATCCTAATAATAATCATGCTACCTATCCCACAAGTTATAATTAGTGTTGCAGACAGTGAGGCTGATTTACACACTCAATAAAGCATCTCCACAAAAAAAAACCAGCGTTGAATGTAATGACACGCCATTTTCTGGGTGAGACCCGGAGGCTCCCCGGAGCTTTACCGGCTGATATGCTAATGTCAGACTTTGGCATCAGTCATGTGTATGGAGTTCTAGGGCCTACCGGGGACCACGAGCCAGAACCTGGCCCCCTCAGAGAGGCAAGGGGAGCAATGGCCTATAGAAACCCCCGTGTGGTTGGAAGCATTCTATGTCTGCCATCGACCGGGTCAAGCATCCAGAAAGGTAAGCATTCCAAAACAAACCCCTATTCTGGTGAAAATTGCTACCTAAGCCGAACTAGTGAATAGAACTCTTCAACAGAAAACACGGAAACTAGTATGACGTCATACGTCACCGCGCCGCTGTCTGCGCAGCTCCCCCCTCCCCGGGAGGGGGAAGGGGGAGCCCCAGACCTCCCACGCCGGCTATCCACCCATCAGTTCTGAGGCTGGATGTCAAAACACGCGAAAAACGCCGACCGGAGGGAGGGAGGGTTGCCGGGGAGCCTCCGGGTCTCACCCAGAAAATGGCGTGTCATTACATTCAACGCTGGTTTTCTGGGGGGAGCCCCGTCGGCTCCCCGGAGCTAACTACCCACAGAGGAAGGTCAAAGGGACAAAACCGGGAGGCGGACACCACGCACCCCCCAAGGAGGCGAGACAACCGGCAGCAAACTCCAACCCAAGGCGCCACAGCCCCGAAAATCCCGGGAACAACACGAGAACCACGAGCAGCAAGGCCCCTGCACGAACACCAAAAATCCATGCCCGAAAGACTGCAAGGCCACGTCGCCCAGACGGCAGCGAAAGCAGCGAAGCCACGAACGCCACAGGCATGAGGGAAGAACACAGGCAGCTTAGCCGCAAGAACACGGCTGACCACCCGGGACACCATCACCCGTGAACCGGGAAGAACAGAACCGGAACGCAAAACGCGCTCCGGACCCAAACGCCGTGGCACGCAAACAACAGCAGAGGGCCGCCACTGAACACAAAAACGACACACCCCCGGCCCGACTAACAAAGCACCAACAAACCCTGGACCCCTCCAGAATGCAGCAGCCCCACCCCGCGCCAGAAAAGATGGAGACTGCTGCCATCAAACAACCAAAACGCTAAAACCGAAGGAGCAAGAAAACACAGCGAACCGACACCCAGAGGCAAAGGCCCAAAGGAAAGAGCCGACGAAAAAAACACACCGGAACCGAAGGGGCACTACCAACCGAGGAGAAGACAGAGCACGCTGACCAGAGACCAGGATGGTGCAAGCGGCGCACGAACAGGCCGGAGGTGAAATGACGCACAAGACAGCTGACTAACGGTGCAGAAGCAACACCAAGACCGAAAGCAAGCTGAAGCGGCTCCGCCTGCGCCGCACGAAAAGAGGCGACAGTATGTGGCAAGACGACGGCCCCCAACCCCCACTAGAAAACCAAGCCGAGAGTAAACCAAGCCAACAAGAAGGACCCACCGAAGAAGGGACAGGAAAAGGAAGGACCGCCAAAATACCCCATACTGCCGCCAAGAAAGCACGCAGGTGGGACACCTACCACGAAGCCACCCGACCACCAACCGGAGGCGAGACCACGAGGCAGAACATAAGCAGCCCCGACAAGGCCCCCCCGAGCCCAGGAAAAAGGCGGAGCCGCGAGAAGATCTCGGGCGCGACCACCGAAACCCAGGCGGCACAAGGAGATGGAACGAAGGCAGACCCCCCACCAGGTATATAAACAAAAGAAAAAGAAAACCCCGCAAGAGGACAGCGTACCCAAGCGGAACAGAGCCGGCCGCTATGATTGGTAAAGACAAGCTGCACAGTACCCCGCGCCCCACCAGTGCAAACACTGCCCCTTACTCTAAGGCGAACAAGGGAGACAGAACACCCGAGCACACAAAGAGCGGCCGAAAACCAAGCGGTAAACGGCCAAGCAGGGGCAGGACCCAAGGAACTTGTGGAAGGTGGCCCCAAGCCCCAAGGGCAGTACTTACAGGGCACCTAGGGAAGGGAACCCTAGGCGCATGCAGCCCGAGTACTGAAGAATCACACCCGGCTCACGCACCACCTAGAAAACAGACACCACACTCTAGGTACAGTGCTGAAACAACCACTGGAGCCGGAGCACATAACCATTGCCTATAGCATCAGCCGAAGAACTGATGGGTGGATAGCCGGCGTGGGAGGTCTGGGGCTCCCCCTTCCCCCTCCCGGGGAGGGGGAGCTGCGCAGACAGCGGCGCGGTGACGTATGACGTCATACTAGTTTCCGTGTTTTCTGTTGAAGAGTTCTATTCACTAGTTCGGCTTAGGTAGCAATTTTCACCAGAATAGGGGTTTGTTTTGGAATGCTTACCTTTCTGGATGCTTGACCCGGTCGATGGCAGACATAGAATGCTTCCAACCACACGGGGGTTTCTATAGGCCATTGCTCCCCTTGCCTCTCTGAGGGGGCCAGGTTCTGGCTCGTGGTCCCCGGTAGGCCCTAGAACTCCATACACATGACTGATGCCAAAGTCTGACATTAGCATATCAGCCGGTAAAGCTCCGGGGAGCCGACGGGGCTCCCCCCAGAAAAATATGAAATTGGCTGTGATGGCAATAGCTAACTTTCCACGAAACTCCTTTCGCTTGAAGCCATGAAGCGTGTTCCTCTTGCCATCTGCTCCAAGCAGCACATCAAATTCATACTGATTGGCTGGATGGTCTGGTGGAGTTAATCTTGCTCGCCAACCAATCTCTAATTGCAAAAATAAAAGTATTGCCTGTAATGAAATTCCTTTTTCTGATGGGCCCCTCATGACTCCTGGGAACCACCGAGTGCTCCATCCCAAACACTCCAAGAAATTATGAAAGGCTTAATTGTTCTAATTACAAGAAAGTAAAGAAGTCACAGTATGAACACGGTTCATACTTTTAACCATGTTCATTTTTAACATGGTTAAAATTAAAAAGTTTAAAAATAATCCAATACCCTAAAGGCTACCGAAAATAACATGAGCAACAGAAAATAAGATGATTTTTAATAGTGATAAATTCCAGATACTTAAGCATGGTACAAATGAAAATAACAAAATAAAAAAACCAGCGTTGAATGTAATGAAACGCCATTTTCTGGGTGAGCCCCGGAGGCTCCCTGGAGCTTATCGGGCTAATGTATGTTATATTAGACCAGGACATTAGCTAAGGAGTTCAGACCTACCAGGGACCAGCGCCAGAACCTGGCCCCTTCAGAGAGGTTTCAGGGAGCAATGGCCCTGGAAAACCCCCTTGTGGTTGGGGTTTTCCTTATCTGCCATCGACCGGGGCTAGGCACCCAGAAAGGTAGGCATAACAAAACAAACCCCACATGGTAAAAAACTAAAACAAAAAACCAAACAGAGAGGTAGAAACTCCCTACAATCTCAAGGAAACAAGCAAACATCACACTTTACAATGCCTGCGCCGATCGTCCACGCAGCCCTCCCCGCCCCGAGAGGGGAGGGGGGAGCCCCGGACCTCACCGCGCCGGCTGCCTAGCATCAGTTCGGAAGCTAAGCTTCAACCAACGCGAAAAAAAACGCCGACCGGTGGGAGGGAGGGTTGCCAGGGAGCCTCCAGGGCTCACCCAGAAAATGGCGTTTCATTACATTCAACGCTGGTTTTCTGTGGGGAGCCCCTACGGCTCCCTGGAGCTTCATACCCAAAGAGAAGGAAAAGAAAGGGCTGACCCGGGAGGCAGCCGCCACAAACTCCGCAACGCGAAGCCGAGACAACAGGCTGCAACCTGCGACCCAAGGCAACAAGAAACGCACAGGAGCAGACGCGCGCATAAAGAACGGGCGGCCAGGAACCTGTGCGACCCTCAAATCCTTGTGCCCGAAATGAGCCCTAGACGTCACCAACACAGCAGCAAAAGCTGCAAACGTCCGAACAGCACGGGCGCAAGGATAGACCGCAGGCTGGAAGACCTAAAAACTCTGCGGACGACCTGGGAGACCCGAGCCCTGAAACAGGGAACGGGGGGAACCGGATCAACCCAAAGCGCATCCCCAGACACGGTACGCAGGTAATGGCAAAAAAGCGCAACCGGACAACACAGGACGCACCCCCGGCCGAACCAATCAAGCATCAATAACCCAAGGACCCCCCTTGGTAAGCAGCCGTCTCGACCGTCGCCAGAAGGACGGAGAAAGGCTGCAAACATACAAACCTACCACCAGGACCAGAGAGCAGAAACCTGAACCGAAGGGGCTACCACAAACTGAGGAGAAGATAAGAGGGCACCCTGATCAAGATAAGAGGGCACCCTGATCAAGGACCAGGATGGCTCAGGCGACGCATGAGCAGGCCGGAGGTGAAACAAAACACGAGAAAGTGTACAGAATGGGGCAGATGTGACGTCCACCCAGCACGCAAGCCGGAGCGGCTCCGCCAGCGCCGCACAAAATGAGGCGACAGTAAGGAACATCAAATAACTGTAGTCCTGAAAACCCAAGAAAGGACAAGACAACCCGATGCGAAAGAGAAGACGACCTACAAAGAGCAAGAAAAAGGTGCATAGAAACACCAGGAACATCATACTGTCGCTGAGACGAAGCTCGCAGGTGGGACACCATCAACATAACCACCTGATCACCACAGAGATCAGAGATGGTGATACCCGTGTTAAAAAAACAGACACGAAGAGCTGAGGAGAAGGCCGAACCAGCCATGTACAGGACCGGTCCAACCTGCCGAAAGAGGCGGAGCCGCTGGAAAACGCCCTGGGTTCAGACACCTATCAAGCATTGTCTGAAAATAAAACTGGGCCGGCCACCAAGGGACCATGAGAACTACTCTCTTGGGAATGGGCTCCAACTGAGCCAGAACCTGAAGCAACAGCTGGACCGGGAGAAGAGGAACAGGTACCCCCACCTCGACCAGTCCTGCCGAAAGGCATCCACCGTGAACGCCTCGCAGGCGGGTAAGGGTGCCACATAGAATGGGCGACGCCTAAACCACGCCAACTCGAAGACGTCCATGGCCGGGAGTCCATACGTCCGGCAGAGCCAACAAAATGAGTCGGCGACGAGTTGCCAATCCGTTAACAGAGGAATGAACCGAGACAGGCTGTCCGCCAGGACGTAGGACACACCCTGGACATGAACCTCACAGTTAGCCAAACCCCGAGAATCCAGCAAACGAGCCACTCGAAGGGACCAACCCCAAAGGCAAACACCTAAGAGAAACCCTGTGGTTCCGGCAAAGAACCGCTAGAGAACAGTCCGAATGGAGCTGAATGGTAGAGCACTGAGTAACACAAACCCTCCGAAGCGCAAACAAGACAGCCACGAACTCCCGAACCGTGCTGTTAGCCCGACGGACGGACAGACCCTACCATCCCCAGCCAACCTGGTGAGCACTGGTCACAAAGTCCCAGCCGAGAGATGACCTGTCCATGAACACGTCGAGCGAAGGCTCGGGGAGGTGCCAAGGCACGGAACCCCGAAAACCCCAAAGAGGAAGTTGGTGACACAGCACCAACACAAGATCCCTAGAGGAACGAACCCAACGATTGCAAGAGAGGCGGAAGGGGAGTCTCTGAAGGAACCAAACAGACGCTGAAGCCAAACCCAACCCTGCGGGCAGACCAGCACGTCGAAGTTCAGACTCCCGCACAACTGCTCGAGCAACCGCCGAGCAACCCGGGACCCCTCATGAACAGTCGAAGGCGGGACCACAGCCGCAGCAACACTTCTGGAGGGAAGGACAAGGAGCGGCCCAAGAGCCCTAAACAAGACCCAGCCAGGTCCGAACCCGGACCGGAAACAGATGGAACGGCGTCCAGATCACCAGGAAACCAAACCCGGCGATCTGGAAAGAACCACACACCTGGCGAGCAGACAAGCGGACCGACTGGGAGCCCACATCAGCCAGTCATCGAGGTAGGCCAGACACCGAATCCCAAGCAGACTCAGACAGGGCACCAAAATCCGGTAAAGATGCGTAAATACACCAAGTGCCAATTACAAACTAGGGAAGGCAACAAAAGCGGCAAGCCTGAAGCCCACCACCAACTGTGCCAGTCCCGGAAAACTGGAGAAGAACGTGCCAAGAATTGACCTGGAGGTCCAGGGCCACCATCCAGGCACCCGGCCCCAACAGAAGCCGGACTGGAGACAACAGTCCTCCGATGAGGGCATAGAATCCAGGGCGCAGACTGAAGAAGTCCAGAAGAACCGCAGATTCGCCAAGCCCGTGTCTGCATAGAGCAGACGGGAACCCCAGAAGGATGGGATGGATCGACAACATCCAACGCTCCCACTAAGATGACATGACGAAGCGCAGCTGAAGAAGCCCACCCCGCCAGCCCTGAGAGCCCCCCAAAGGGGGAAAGCCGTCCGCCGCCGCCAGAGGCTGGAAGACAACCAAAAGCGCCCACTAACTGTAGGACCAAGCGAGAGTCAACAGAGCAAGCTGCTCCCCCAGCGCCCTGTCAACAGTGAAGGGAACAGAGCCCCTTCATAAAGAAAAAGTAAAACAAAAGTCCCTGAACCCACAAAGGAGGCCCAAGCGGAAGAAACCTCCGGAACGAAACCAAAGAGCCTAAAGGAACCGAGAATCGATCCGGGGGGGGGGGGGGCAAACTACCACATTTGCTGGTGGAAATACACCACAGAAAGGCCAAGCACAACCCCAAGACAGAACCCCCAGGGAAATGGCCAAACAGACTGAAAAACCGACGGGACAAGTTGTGGGGGCAGCAAGCATACAGACAGGGACAATGGGCCCAGACCTTAAGGCCCAGACCCAAAACAGACAGAAAATGGAAAAACTGGTGTAAAAACTAACACCCAAACGTTCACAGAGGAACAGAAGACGGACAGAAAACACCAGAAAAGCAAAGAAACAACAACTGGAAAAATAAAACCCCTGAAAGAGGTGAAAAACTGACCCAAGATGCTAGCTTGCACACCCAGGCGCATGTAAACAAACTGCCACGCTGCACTGGTGGCCACGTCGGGAAACCGGCAGAAAGTAAATGGCCACCAGAACAGGGGGGCCGTGACTGACGCAATAGATACGAAAAACATGCTAGCAATTGTGGGAAGCAAGCAGACTGGATGGGCGAAAAAACTCTGCCAAGAAGCAGAGAACCCCAGGCAGGAGCAATCAGCCCCAGAACTGCTAGCAGGCATTCCCCACAGCCCCGGAAACCTGCAACAGAGGCCCCGGGGCAGAGCCGTCCTCCTTGAAGAAAACAATCTAGTTTCCTCTTGAAGATGTCCACGGCAATATTCTGATGCTCGCTGGTAGGACGTTGAACAACCGTGGACCTCTGTTGTTCATACAGTGTTCTCTGATTGTGCTCATGGCACCTCTGCTCTTCACAGGTTCTAGTCTGCACTTTCTTCCATGTCATTCACTCCAGTACGGTGTTATTTTACTGCGCAGATTTGTGACCTGTCCCTTTAGTATTTTCCATGTGTATATTATTTGGTATCTCTCTCGTCTCCTTTCTAGTGAGTACATTTGGAGAGCTTTGAGACGATCCCAATAATTTAGGTGCTTTATCTCGTCTATGCGTGCCGTTCCCGGAATGCCGTTCCCGTTCCCGTTCCAATCTGCATCTCTTCCTCAAACTGCATAGGGGTATGCAGTTTGAGCGTATTTCTAGAGCTACTGAATTTATTTTTACCATGCACTGGATCAGGTTTGCATTTTCTAGCTGTTCTACCCAACTTATTTATATGAGGTCTTGGTTTATTTGCTCCCAGTTAATCTGCTTATTATTAAAATTGAATTTGCTGAATTCTCCTCCTCTGGGAATCGGGACTGGTTGTGCAGGTCTACTCCCCATGCTTGTCAGAACTTCAATTACGTTGTGATCTGAGTAACAGGTATTTGCAATCATTATATATTTGTAATCAATCATTATGATCAATTCATCATTAATAGTATAAATGAGGTCCAGCGTGTTCTCTTTTCTAGTTGGTTCAACTATTTGCTGGTTCAAGGCAAATCTGTCTCACATCCGTAGCAGGTCATTTGCACGTGACTTTTCATTTAGGCTACTTCCCAGTGTTCTCTCTGATATAAATGTATTAGCTAGGTGCTTCCATTTCTGGTGCCGTAGGTTGATGTCCCCAAGCAGGAAGATGTTTGGGCTGGATTTAGGTTTCTAAGCAGTGTTAAATTTTCATTAGTTGATCTTAAACTGCTGAAATTTGCCTCCGGTGACTTGTATACAAGAACAAGAACTACATTTAGGATCTCTACTTTGAATATCAGCACTTCCACCATATCATTTATGGTGTTTAGCAGCTCAGTGTGGATGAGTGTGTCTTTGATATACAGGCTGACCCCACCCTGTAGCCAATGTTTCCTATCACAGCTGAAAAGATTGTACCCTGAAATCCATATTTCACCATCATAGTAGTCCTTTGTGTGGGTTTCCGTTAGGGCTACAAACACGGCATTTGCCTCAGGTAGGAGGCCATATATAAAATGAACTTTGTTAGATTTGCGTGCTTTTATACCCTGGATGTTGGCAAATAAAAATTATGTTATCGTGTTTGTGGAAGTGCTGGATGCTTTACTTGGTGTTAATATTCAAGACACTGGTAGGGCCTCAGTGTTTGCGTCCTCTTTAGCATTTGACCGAGTTGGTGGTAAAGTCTGGACATTTTTAGCCATTCTTCTCCTCTTTCGCTTGCTAAAAAAAATCATCCTGGTCAATACAGTTGTGTCTGTTTTCATCGTACATCACGTACACAAAGGTAGATTTTTCTTTATGCTTCACATATTGTATTTGACTTCAGCAGACAATGTGGGTGAACTGATTTCAATAAATAATTGCATTCATTGATATCAGATTGAAACAACAACAAACCAAATTAGGAAATTATATTAACAAATAAATTCACATGATAAATAAATAAAATAATAAAAATACTAACTTTCATTTTGATCCTCGGGTGGTTCAACTAGCTCCTCAAAGGTCACAGATTCAAACACTTCAACACCCAACAGCAAGGCTACCTTCAGCAAGAT